ATAACAGATGAAGAATAGATTTTGATCATCCCCTCAGTGGTCAATTTTCCTCTACTTGAGGGAATGGGGGGGGGGAACCCAAACCAAACACCACACACCCTTCTCTAGATCTTGGATGGGTGGGAATATGGATTTATAAAATACCTGCCTACATCCAGTCAATAAAACTCATTTTGAGAATGATGCCCATGTACACTGTTAACTGTCAGGTGAGATCTGGGCAGGGGAGGAGCAACAATTACAGCTTCTAGAGGTTTTGTTTCATTTTCTCTTTCTAGATTCAGCTCTTAATTTCTTTCTTTTTTTTCAAATAATGCACACATGCCCATAACCTGAACAAAATGAGGATGTCTTGCAAAACATTCTAACAGCAGGAGATGAAAACCACGCAGCGGTCATTCCAGCTCACACTCTCATGCGTCCAGAGCAAGGCTTTCTTCCCTTCTTCACAACACTATGAATTCCATACTGAGGGTCACAGCTTCCTTTTGAATTCCCAGCTTATGTCGCAATGTGTTGCCACCTTGATGCTATTTAGACAGCTTTCTTTTAGCACGCAGACAGTGGACTGGTCTTGTTTAAACAGGCTGTTATTTGACAAGAGTGCATTCCCTCAGATCTGAAGCTCTACTAACCGTGCTACAACTGTATCACACTCTGCTCTAATCAACCATGGTGTAAATCTGGGCAAAACACCTATATGGCACTTGTAAGATGGGGAAGAAAAAAAAAAAAAAAAAAGGCACAGGAAGACTTTAGGTTCACCTAGCTCAGCATATTTAAAAGGTACAACTGTTCTCTGCACAACATCTAAGAAAGCAGAACTCTGAATTCTACCTTGCTAACATAATTATTTTCTGATTTAAACATTTAGCTGCATGCTGCTGTACTCTTGCTGGGTCTCGGAATGAAAGCTAGCAAACTAAGAGCCCTACTGTATGTTCTTCATTCCCAGCAATGTTCCTATGAGAAAACCTTATTAATGAGCTTGCAAACGAGCACCCAACAGGGAAATGTCACAAACAAGAGCGGCTAATGCCCCAGAAAATCAAATAACTGAACACTTGGCTGATTGTGGTGCCTTTCATATTTATAATAAAAAAGAGGAGGGGGGGGGACTTTAATTCACTGATTCTGGAAGGGTCAACACCTTGCTGAACAAAACAACTCATTTATTTATGTTCAGAAATCTCCAGATGATAAATTACATTGATGTTAATCACTTCAATGCATACTACACAATTAATATCTGTACTCACCAAAATTTAAGGGTTATTAAAAGTATGACAGCATACACATCTGGCTGATTTTTCACATAATTGGGCACAACAATTTCTCCTGGTACCACAAATAGAAGTACTAACACACAAACACTACAAAATACTGGTACAATTAATTAGGACTTGAAACCACCAGACAAAAGCAATGCCAAGCTGTAGCTCAAACCTTGTCCACCATGCTACATGGAGACACTTCATCTTAAGGAGAGAACTACTCTACTTCTTTTCTTTGTATTGCTCCTTCCTCCGTCATCCTTTAAGTTAGATATTCAATGGCATAGAGTAAAGGTTGTCATTGCATTTTCCTGTGATCATCATTTGTAAATCAGGCCCTAACCTGTATGGAATGCTACTGTTAGTCACTCAGTCCTGTTCATGTTCTAGTTGACATTCATTTATCTTAGATAGGGCGGAGAGATCATCCCATGAACCTACATTGTCCAAAACTGGCCAAGATGAAAGTCACAGAGGACACTTAACAGTATGCAGATCTATTTGCCCCCCTCCCCACACCAAGGTCTTATGAAGGGATTCAGTATTTCCTGGTAACTAACTGTTGATCCTGATGACGGTCTGAAGAAATCTTAGTTTACAAAGAGAGGACATTAAACAGAACACGTATAATGTGTACGTGAAAACACATTATAAATAAAGTGCATATTTTTATAGCTACTAATACACAGATCATAGTTAGGTTAAAGCAATAGTTCTTATCAGTGCTTGAAGAAAATAGCAATACTCTAATGGGTAAATGAACTCCTTATATTACAAGCAAAATGAGGTAACTGATTATATTCCTTTCCCAGGTCTATTGCTATCAAAGGACACTTTAGGGGTCAGTGACCCCATAAAGGTGATAACTTCAGGGATTTGAATAAATTTTAAAATGGGGGTGGTAGTGTATGGTTATTCTATGTGAATGCCCAGAAGAATTCAGTATCTACACAGACTGCCTTCAGAGTAACTGTTCTAAAAATCCTGTCACTTTTGTCTATCAAAGATGCCTATCTGAAGAGAAAGGATTGCTATGAAGGAATGGAGCTGAGCTACCCCCAGTGGCTTACAGCTAAGACTCAGGGTTGTTATGAGCACTTTCCCACTAGCCTGGTCCCACAGCAATGTCAGCCCCAAATAACATTCAGAGACGCTGTATTGGTTATGAAACTGTTGGCCTGTCATTAGCGTTTCTCATTGGCTGGCTCTGTCTTAAAAATTAACTCATTTCTATCAATCTAAGTTTATCCACATAGTCTTATCTTTCTGGAGAGTCCAGACCTCTTACTCCTCTTGCGTCCTACATCTCAACTCCTCTCTATTACATCTCCCAGAATCCTCTTTATCTCCTAATCCCACCTGTCTTGCTTTCCTATAGGCCAACAGTGCTTTATTTATGAACTAATAAGAGAAACATATTTACAGAATGACATCTCCCATCATAGGGTCTAATGCACTTGAGCCTCAGACTTGGGGATAGGAATCCTCTGATATGGAATAGCTACTGGTGTTTGAGTGGACTCAAGCTGGTTGGGAATGATGCAGAGAATCCCGACTGTGCTTGAAGACACTGAAGATTTTCTGACTTCCTGCACAGTTCTGCAAATAAAATGATACTTACAGACTGAAGAGCCAGGTGATTTTCCTAAGTTCTGAGAGTCTTTTTAATAAAGATTGCAAACCACACCCCCAATTTCCCTTCAGAATTACATAAAGCTCTGTAATTCTTAACCTTCCTTTTTACAAGATGTTTTTTCACCTACATATATTTATTTAAAAAGCATCAAGAATAAATTGTTGAGGAAAGAAGAGAGCTGACTACAAAAGGTTTGGAATGATTAGTAGCAGGTGTTACAGACACTCTCTTGAAGGGAGGAACCCATAGTACTTTTTTAGATTGGAGCCAAATAGATTAAGATACAGAGCTACATTCATTTTCTTGGAAGGACAAATCCCGCTTGAATCTACAGAAAATGAAAACAAGGCTAGGAACCATTATCACATTTTTTAGGGGTAGGAGGTATACTGCTTGAAATATTCTGCATTTGGCAGTGAGTATAATTTTGTAGGTGGGAGGGGCTACACTCTATTTAAAAGATACTCTGGGAAACTACTTAAAGGGTTTAGGGGTGGAACCTGGGTGGATATCCACTCAGGACTCACAAAGGAGCTAATGTATTATTAAAGCTAATGGGCCCCTACAAGGAACGTTAATGGATATTAAGTTTGCTTAAATGAATTACATATTAACAAAGTCACAAGAAATCTAGTATCTGCCAATTTAGATAATATCTGATCATTTCTGTTTTCCCATTATAGGGACATTACACCACAATAGTTTTAGTGATATGAAAATTATAAGCATGATGCTCATAATGAAGCTATATAATGAAGTAGAGGAAATGAATTAACAAGAAAAACCTGCATTCTCTAATGTAAATTGAGCCATGCTTGCAGGGCAAGACGAGGTTGGGACAAGATGGTCTCTAATGAGCATGTTTATAATGTTCCCTATATCTTGTACTACTTGGACAATTTAAACAGACAATAGGGAATGTATCAGCTAAAAAAATGGCTTCCAAAGACAAACTCAAACCCCAAGAACCTATGAATATGGTCTAATTTGGAAAAATAATCTCTGTACATGTAATCTTAAATACCTCAAGATAAGACCACTCTGAATTACCTGGGTGTGACTTAAATCCAGTAACACACAAAGAGAACACCCCCTGAGTAATGGGGTGGGCTATGAAGTCCTAAGCCCTTAGGGGAACTCTCAGAGAACGGGTCCTGGAAGATGTAGGAAAGGACCTTCTCTAAGACCTTTGAAGGGAAGGTGGTCCAACTGACCTTGTCTTTGATCCTTTGGCACCTAGAATTGTGAATGAATTCCTGTGGTTTTAAGTCAGGTCTGTGGTGCTGTCACTTTTTTCAGTGGCCCTAGAACACTAACACACGCATTCCCAGAGCTGCTAATGTATTTCTTCCATCAGATCTCTAATCACTGTGCTCCCGCTAAAACCCTTGCAACACTGTCCAATACACATATTCCACTGTAACTTGGGATTTTCCAGAGGACAGGCCATGGGAGAAATCTTTTGCTGAACTGTGAGAGAAGATGACAACTTGCTCACAACCTTGGTTGGAAGATTCCCTTCACCCCCTATCTGAAGCAGAAGGGTTTGGAGGAGAAGATGAGGAGAACTTCTTTAGTTTACAGGGAATGGTTAGGGGAGTCTCACTACCATGCAGCACTATGGATGAAGCCATCAAGACATGGTGCCGAGTCCAAGTGTTTAACTTCTAACTCCTTGTTCTAAGTAAGGCTAAATAGAAGAGAACATGGATTTAGAACAAAATGTTGGTATGAAATAGAGATAGAAACATACATATCCAGTGTTTCTGGTAGGTTAGAAGGGGAAGAAGAATCACCCAACTTAGCTTGAAATGAAGACAGTCAACACTGAAAGAAGCTGATTTTAAGTCACATGCTAGAGCACATCAACATGGTTTTAGTTTCACATTTGAGTTAGCTGTAATACCTTTACATTCTCATTGACACTTGATAATACAGTAGCATTTCAGTAAAAGGATCCTTAGATTATTTTTCTACCAGGACAACAGAGGGAAATCCATCAACACTGTATGAAATGTATATGCTTCCAATGACTGGCTCCTGAGGAGCTTTTAAGCCCTGAACTCAAAAGAAGACACTTGGCTACTCACACTGCACTTCCAGATACCGCTGGGTCTGCAGGTTTCCAGTGACTGCAGGGTGCTCCACCTGACAGATCACTGGGACCCCATCATCCTCCTTGTGCACCTTCAGCATCAGCTGGCTGGTCACAGTGTACATGTCCGACCACTCTTCCACCTCCGATTTGCCTGTGTGAGACAAAATACATCAAGATCTCCCTTCTCCCCAACCCCAACAGTGTTATTTTACCTAACATGATAGTGTTGTATCACTGGTCACGGCAATCTGTGGCTAGGGACCCCATAACATAATTATTTCCCTTAGTTTCTTTCTTTTCAGCCTTGTGTAACAGTACTTCAGATATATTTCAAATGTAAATAATACACATTATTTTTATTCAAGTATGTATATTTTTCTTCTATCTTCGAATCTCCTGCCAAGTCAGTTGCAAGTTCAACCATTTTGACATCTGGCTGCTTGTGGTTTTGGGAGGAGGAAGGGAAAAAAACTTTGCACCTCTACCACCATCTGAACTTCAAATATCTACAAGGCTGTCATGCCAAATTTGTCATGTCCAAATCCCCTAAGCAATTCAATCAACAGCAGAGATATAAACAAGCCCCTTTGCCCACCCCCATCATCAAGAATTAAGAAGGAAAGTAACTAAATGGATTTACATAATTGAAATTGTAATTGAAATGTTTAAGCTCAGAGACTTCTGGAGGACCACAAAAAATGCAGCAGCAGTGGACTAGAGCAAAGTAAGATATAGGGCTTAGGGCCAGATGGGAGACTCGGCCAAGAACACCCAGAAAAGGAAGGAGGAGGCTTCCGGAGGGAATGAATAGGCCTAGGCAGTCCCTTCCTGAACCCAGCACTCCCAGGAGCAGGGCACACCATTAACTTTCTTTGAATGTTTTGTACTTACCGGTCCACATTTAATGGCTCAATTCACTTAGAGGGTAAGAGGGGAAATGAGGAACTCCTTCTAAAACCATACTTAGGAAATAGGGAATTAAAATGGAACAAGCTTTTGGAAAGTTGCTGCTCCCCACAGAATTCTGTTTTTGGATATGGATTTCCATATCACCTTTCTAAAAGGGCTGTTTTCGTCCTTGGACTGTTTGTTTATTTAAGGAGCACACATACAGCACTTATTGTGTCTCAGGTGCTTCCTTAATGCTCATTTCATCTTCATAATAACACCCTATTACTATTGTTCCTGTTTCACAGGGAACTGAAGCACAGAGCTAGTATTTATGTTAAACAGGGGTGAGCTCCAAAATCCTCTGTTCAGGTACTACTTCCAGGGCAAGCTAAAAGAGAGAGAGTCAAATGCTGACAGGAGTGAGACAGTATAAACAATAGGAAATTGTCAAGTAGGAACAGGGCTATAGGAACTGCCTGTAGTGTCACCCCAAAATCAGAGACTTTGCAAAAGAATGGGCTGGCAAATCAGACAAGAGAATTACAGTTCACCAGCCAGGCAGTCCCTGTAAATTCAGAGATGACTTGAGCTCTTGGCCTTCAATACCACCACTCTGCAGGAAAGCACATCCCAACAGTTGAGGCTATGGTGCATGCCAGAATGACCTGGGCTTCTGAACCATTAAGTCATCACCAAACAGAGGACAAAAGCAGTGACACTTGAGATACGACACAGTCTCAGACAGTGGGACTGTGGGATATTCCTAGCACAAGTTCCTCCTGGACTGAAGAGTTCGAGATTACAGGTTTGGTTCATCACCAACTCTCAAACCCCAGAAGGAGACTGTGAAGTAAAACAATGAAAGTCAATTTCGTCTGGCCTCAGATGCTTTTGCTAATTGATTAGAAACCGTACTGGAATAAATACTTCTGTTTCAGGGGCATTTGTTTATAATTTTCACAAAGGCCTACTTGCTAGAGTCGAGTGCCAGCTAACTGCTTCATGCCTGGGCAGTCTGCATCATACCTTTGAGTTCCTTGTTCCCTTTGAACCATCTGATGGTGGTGGCCGGCTTGCTGGCCATGGCAGTGCAGTTGACTTCAATCTCTTCCCCTTCAACTGCCGTGTCTTTCTGGATATCGATCATCAAGTTACGTGGAGGGACTACAAATTAAACACATATGCTTTATAAACACAGGACACATTTATGGACAGAGTCTCCTGCTCACTGGGAATCAGTATAGCTGTTACCAAAAAGAGGCAAGCAAGGGACATTGCCGGTGAGATCACACACCCTGATGGTAAAATAAACTGCCAGAAGAGAGGAAGAACTGGAGACACGCATGACCAGTCTCCAATTCTTGAATTATCACCGACCTATGAGATTAACAACCAATATTTTAGTCATTAGAAAATGGATAAGGAAATAGGTATAAAATCAAGAGGAATACACACTATTGAAATTAATGTCCTTACCTGGAAGCCCCTGAAAGCAATAATTCTCCTTGAACTCAACCCTTGGATTTCAATCTTCATAGGAAAGACTTCAAAGTCTACTAACAAAGATAAAAAGCTTGGGATGCCTTAGAAGAATCACTCATCACAAACACCCACAGAAAAAGTATGCCTCAGAACCAGTTCCACTGAACCAAAGTGAATTATATAAGACAGGCCACACTGCTGACCTCCAGTGGGTGAAGAGTCATTAAAAGAAAGACTTGGCACTATAGGAAATGCCAGGTATGTGCAGGCATTTATCATATTCCAAATTCCAATGCTCAGATCTAGGAAACCAAAGGTAAACACGATTCCTAAGTGCTTGAAAGACACTCAGATATCAGAATTAAAACCACTTTTCTATAAGCATATTAAATATCTCTGTAATAAAATAGTCAAAACAAAAGACTTGAGAGCTGACATACTGAATAGCAACTCAAGAGTGTGTGTATGACAGAAGTGATGATGATGACGGAGTTATCTTTTTTTTTTTTTTTTTTTTTAATGAAACTGAGTTGACGGTGAAACGTCATATGATGTGCAGTTCTACCTCAAGACCGAGCCTCATGAAATAAAAATCAGTAAGAATACAGGGTTCAGTAGTGTGAATCTAAGAATAGGAGCCCTGACCACCATGAATAAGCAAAGACAGGGCTGCGACGTATGGTTAATACGTTTCTCAACTCAGAAGAGAAACAAGAAATTAAAAATGTATAAACATGCCACCCTGACCATCAAGTTGAATAATACATCTCTGATACCGCTTCAATAAATTATGGGATTAAACCATGTTATTTGGGACTTCCAACTGTTCCAGTCCAATGTGAAAGTTCTGTTCACAGGAAGACTTTTATACTGTATGAGAGAGATTGAAAATTCTTATAGAGACTGATGAAAGAGGAAATACAAAATAATTTGTTGCATATGTTTCTCAGCAAGATGGTGCACTATGGAGGCAGGGAGGGGGTAAGTGCTGGAGCAGAGGTGCTGCCCTCTGTTCCCCATGTACAAAGAAAACAACACATTTTCTCAGTTGGGTGGGTTGCTAATGTGGTATGGCCCAAAGGAGTACTTACTCATGGCAAAAACTTAAAAACTAAGCAGAAGGAGAGAGTTTAGCATCCCATTTAAGGATGTACATTTTACGGAAGTTTTAGAGACACAGAGAGGCAGTGACAAAGAAACAGGATGCTCTGGCTGGCTGTGTGCTTTTCATAGTTTGTGTAAATGATAGTCAGGTGGGTTACAGATTGCCATCTGTATATCTAGACAGCATGCAGGGAATACATAGACAGTACATACCTAGATTAAGCAAATACTAGAGTACTCTGTATATCTGGATAGTATGCAGGGAATACACAGAAAGTACATACTCCGAATAAGCAAATACTAGGATACTCTGAGTGCAGAATGCTAGGAGTAAAAGGCCACAGGCTGGTCCTCACAAATAAACTGAGGCATAGAAGAACAAAGGCAGTCTCTTGGGTGGAAATGAAAACAGTGAAGAAAATAGTTCTTGAAGTTGATATAGTTGATACTTCCTGATGAAAATTTAATTATTAATATCATTGTCAGAATATGACACTAAGGATAAAGAGAAGGCAAATGGTTAAAACTCCTGAGGATGTTGGAATTCCCTCTGAATGGAGTATGTTTTCCACTTCATGATTCTGGGAGAAACACCTCGATGGGCACTCAGAATCTAGGAGTTTTCTTAATGGGAACAGATCCAGGGGTGGCTGGGACTCGATGTGGATGACTAAGTTGCGGTGGAACTTGGTATCCATGCAGTTTGTTAGACATGCTCTGTGTTCTGGGCATCTTGCCCTTGTTCTCTGTCTTTCTCTGTCTCTCGATCTCTGTCTCTCTCTCTCTTAATGGTGGGTCTGAGACACCAAAACTCCTCACCCTGGGCCTCTCATAACCTCTACCAACTGCTCATTTCTGTCTTGCTTTTCTTTTTGTTGGCCAAACATCCAAACAAAACAAATTATTGGCAGGACTATTCTTTCAGTGCACAGTTTCAGAAGCTCCAGTCCTTGGTCACCGGGCTCTGTGTTTCTGGGCCCATAGATGGCTAAAACAATATAGTGATGGAGTTGTGTGGAGGATGCCATGGCCAATAGGAAGCAAGTAAAATGAACTTAATGGGACCAGGGCAAGAAGATGTAGCTCCAAGGACATACTTCCCATTGCATGTTTCTTTCAGGGAGGCCCTATCTCCTACTTTTATCTCTCTCAGAAATGCTATTTATGTTACAAACCAATCCAAGGATAAAGGTTAGAGACCAAGACCTAATCACTTTCCCAAAGCATGCCAGATGGCGAAAAAGCCAGAATACATGAAGCCATAACAGACTATTCACATTCTAATTGTAACAGTCTCCAATGGCATCTCTCGGTGGAAAGCCTCTACTGTCTCCATTAGGTCCTAAATATGGTATCTGATCTTCCCGCATCAACAAGTGTCTGCCAACTCAAAGCAAGGAAATAAAAAGATGAGTGTATATGGGACAGGAAAGTCCATGAAGATCACCATTCCACTTTGGGGATTGAAAGCTTCACAGGAGCTAAGGTTTGTATCTGGCATTCCCAGCATTGGCTTAGCTTTGTTCCTTTTCCCTCTGTTATCACAGATACACTCTCTGTCCCTATGACCTTCAGAGTAGTCCTTCCTATACAGCTGGCATCTTCATTACCTTCAGGGAAAGTGTAGAAATCTTTAAAAGCTGGAAAATATATCTCATGTAGAAAAACAAAGGACATATTGTTAAGGTCATCATTTTGAGAAATAGCTCAATGATTTTCCCTAAGCCCATAAACAGTTTTCTCAAGGTTGGAATTAGTATTGCTCCTCTTTGCTGACATCAGGGTGGGTGTCGTCTAGCTCTAAGTACAGGGTTTGATAATGAGTTACATTTTTGATGCTATAAAGACACTTCTTTCGAACTCTTTCCCCCTATGTGGAAACCCTTACTTACTCTGAATTAGAAACACTCACAGGGATCTACATTTCTTGGAGAAACAAAGAATTGGCCAGTACAAGTGAGGTGATTTAAACTTACCTTTCTGAGAAAAGAAGGTTGGAGAAGAAAAAAATTCTTTTGGCTTATTAATCCTATTCATCCCCCCCCAATGTCATTCTGATTTTATAATGTCTATTCTAATACAAAAGGGTTAGTAACGTATGAAATCCATTTCTAGAAAAATGAATTAAAAGTGTTGCTAGCCAGAGAACATACTTATACACGATCCACTAAACAGACACAGCTAGTAAGAACTGCTGCAGCCATTAATGAAAACAACCACAGACCTGTCTGGGAAGGAACATGCAAAGGAAAACCTGAATGAAAAAAAAAAAAAAAAAAAAATCACACACAGGGAAGCACTATAAGACAGTCTAGAATGTCAAGGTTCTTCTTTGCTAACCTCAAGCCTATAAGAGTGCTAATTATAAACATTACGCCTACAACATTAAAAAAAAAAATCAGCAATATCAAGATGAGTCACATTAATTACCACAAAAGAGGAGTCTTAAAGCTGATCAGTATGTGAAATCTCACTCTAAGACCCTTTAAAATAATTAGGTTCTCCTGTTCCTGGAGTCTTAAGAGTGAACACTAATCTTAGGAAGACAGGACTGTAATAATATTAGCTACTATTATCAGCAACTACATTCATCTTAGCAGTGTCTTCTCTCTCTTGTTCATCTCCTCTTATGAACAGAATGTAAAGAGTCTTACATTGTGTGCTTGGATAAGGACATGAACTCGTCACAAGTGGAAGGACTGAATGGCCCACAAGGCACCTGGATATGCAGAAACTATCACAAGAGAGTTTTCAGGTTTTACATAGATGAGTTCTAAACATAATGTAACTAACAGAATAGTACAGAAGCCATTAACAAACACTCATCTCTGCCTCTTATAATTATGTTAAAGTTTTTGCTGAATGCATTAAATAATGCATTAATAGTCATATGCAATGAAACGAGCATCTTCAACCTATCGAGGAGTTGTCAGCTGTGTAAGTACATATGGAATCCTTTTCAGAGTGCCATGGATAGCAACGGAGATGCTAATACATCATTCTCCATTCATTATAATATCTAAAACTCTAAACCTTAGGAGGAAGGCTTGAATGTGTATTAGTAGAAATTGTCAGATTTTGGAATATGAAAGACTCTTACACTGATGACAACAATTTTACTCTGTCAAGGAATCCTAGAGTAACTTCAATGGAAAGAATATTAAATGAATGCATAATATCTGCAAAAAGAACATTGACTAGTATTACTTTCAAGAACACTTAAGTTAATGCCTCTATAAAATACAAGCAGGAACCTATTACTTCTAGAATAATGAGACCTCCAAATGGATTACAGGCATGATGCATCTCAGAAGTCTATATGTTGGTAGTTGACTCGAAGCACAGCTGAACTGGCCTAGCATGTTGACTTGGAATAAATGCTCTGTAACTGACAGGAAGCAATGTCATGCCAATGGTCCAAAAGATATGCTCCAGAAAACATGTCCTGAAACAGCACTTGGGCTTTAACTGAAAATGACCTGCATTACCAGACATAGCGCTTGTCAGACAGATTAGTAAGGTCTGTTTTGAGTCCCTAGAGTTTTAATGCTGTGTGTGTGTGTGTGTGTGTGTGTGTGTGTGTGTGTGTGTGTGTGTGTGTGTGTGTTCCCATCTTTATGTATTATTTGGAGACTAGACCTCAGACATTGCTCTGCAGGTACCATCTACCTTGCTTTTTCAGACAAGTCTCAGTGGCTTGGGATTCTCCAAGTAGATTAGGCTGGCTGGCCAGCCCCAGGGATCCATTTGCTTGCTTCTCTAGTGTATGAGTTATAAGTGCATGCTATCATGTCTATATTCTGGGGATTGAACTAGATCCAACTGAGCTATTTCTCCAGGTTCTCAGATTATCAATTCTTATTGTATGCTTTGTAACCTTGGCAAAATTGTTTATCTCTGTTAATATTTTTTTTCTATGAAATCAAAATATCAAAACCTAAACGTTCACGTAAAAAAAAAAAAATTGAAAAATGTCACTGGTACATTCTGTTTCTTTGCCATCACTCCTGTGGGGATGCTGCAAGTGATGGCAGCTCAAATGGAGAAGATGGTCACTTTACACAAGTATATTCACACATGTATAGAGAAGAAGAAATGGGAAACTTCAAATGCTTCCAGGAGAATCTGGTTCGTCTGCACGCTAACAAAATACTCATTCCACCAGAACTTCCATGCAGATCTTGTACAGATTAAATCAGTAAGTGATAGACACACACATGCAAGCTACAGACCCTTGCACACAGTCCACACTGGAAACTGTGCCAGACATTAAGTCTGACTTTCTAAAAGCACAGTCATATCAAGAATATACACAGGCTTTGGGCACATGGTCTGGCTTAATAAATTAAAAATATTGTCCCGTTAACAGCTGTGTTTAAATAAAGCAATGAGGAAGCAGCTCAATATGTACGTTTATAAACACATACATGTGCACACACCCAGTGAAAATGCCCTTCATCTTCATCATTCCTCTTTAATCTTCATATCATTACACCAAAAAGCTGCAGCCTGCTGCCTTAAATAGACTTTGATTCATCATCCTCCTGAAGGTGTAAATCAGAGATCCTGCCTCACTCCATAGTATTATGTCCTTGAAAATTCAGTTTCAAAACCCTGGATCAGGGCCTGTTATGCACCAGAGTGTATGTCTGTATAAACTGCAATGAACTCAGACCCTTCAGCAGAGAAATACCTGCTGACTGTATCAAAACATAAAACCATCACCCTGGCCACTGGGCTCTCAGTGAAAATCACAATCTGGTGACCACAAATAATGGCGCTAAAATCACTAGAGGTGACCTCACAGCCTGCCAATAGTTCTCTGCCGTTTCTAGGTAAGCCACTCTCAACTGTCCATGTCTGATGGCTGTACCTGGTAACAAGGAATGTGTTCATGGGTATGGTTTTCTGTTCTGTAGCATGAACTGGGCTATCAGTAGTAAATAGGGAAATATATAAATAAAGACAAAGAAAAAGGGGTCAACCAAATTCAAATGAGAATGTTAATCAGAAGGAAAGAACTATCACAAGATATTTGAGCATTGCCATGGGTGTAGATATGGGAGCCCATCTTCTCCTTTCTTACAAAGAAGGAAAAACAAACAAACAAAAAAACAAACAAACAAAAAACAACTTGGGGCAGTTAGAAGTGATGCCATTTCATGTGGTGAGTGATTCATTTAAGGGCTCTAACATCTCTTGATCTTCGATTCTGAGGTGTGAGGTCTGAAACCCAAGAACAGATGGAAGCTATAAAGAAGGCCGCCTGCTATTCCTTAGAGTATTTGATAAAATAGGCTGTTTTTAAAATTCAGCAAGATGGGTGGTGATTCTCCCAAAAACAAGTTGGAGCAGTGAGACCTGCTCTTAACTCTTTCCTTGTTGTGGAAGCCACTTGGTAGCCTGAGCCATCCCACTGGCTCCCGGGGATTAACAGACATTTCTTACCCAGGACAGTGATGGTGGTGTAACTCTCCTGTGGGGGGTCGGTGTAGAGCTGGCAAAAGTATCTCCCTTCATCCGAAATTGAGACGTTTGTCAGTGACACTTTGAGTTCACTGCTTGAAAAATTCAGCAGCTGAAACCTGCTGTCCTTCAGAGCTGTAAAACAAAACACAGTCAGTGGTATTGCAAAAGATGATGGACAATCTATTTCCCTTAACTAGGCAAGAGAAAAAGTCAGGCGTTAGAAAAACAGCCACAGAATGGAAATAATTTAAGTCTTTCTGTATGTGCATGGTACCGTTTTAGGTTTCTGCAGTAGCTACATGCAGGCAGAGAATCCTAGTGACCTATCCTAAAACAATTTATGCAGCACTAGGCATTGAGTACACTGTGCAACATGCCAGGCTCTTTCAGGTGGGCAGTAGAGGTTCAGAAACAAAAGTACTTTTAGAAAGAAAACACAAAGCCAAAAAAGCAAACAAACAAAAATAATGGATCCAAATTATGAAATAAAACAAAACAAAAAGTAATTTCAAAGTAAAATGTAAAATTCTAATTTTTAACATATTATAGCAGACTATTTAACTTGGATATGAACTGAGGTGTGGCAGCCTGAGGCTGGGCCTACAGAGGCCATAGTTAGTTATGCAGTTTTCTAGGTAAGTCCATCTTACAGTGGGAAACTGATCAAATCCAAAACAGGAAACTGAAATCACAAAAGCCCCCATATTTGCCTTGTTAATTTTAGCAAAGGTTATTAGTGCCATATGCATGTGAAATTCAGAGGACCACTTCTATGGTGTGGGGTTTGGGAATGGAACTAAGGTGCTCAGGCTTAGTACAAGCACCTGTAGCCTCTGAGACATGTCACTGGCCCTTCTTTAGTTCCTTTAAATGTCCCTTGTTTATCAACTCTTTCCAAAGAATGGCCCAAAATACTGGGAGTGGACAGGAGACAAGCAGCTGAAAATAGGCATGATGAATACTTGCTTTACAGTTAGGTGTCTTGCCAAGCCACAGCAAACCATATGAGCCATTGGTGTCATATACAATTCAGTTTCAAAGGCTGGCTTTTGTTAAATTGCATTAGAATGGATCTCAGCATATGGCTATCTCTGTACAGCAGAGGCTATGATGAAAGATCTGGTCCTGTATTTACAGATATAGATTGTCTTGGAAATGCTAATCTTTAAACCAAACAGATTCCCTATCAGAATGCTATATTTTCCTTGCCTTACCCCATTTGGGTTGTTTGTGTCAGCTAAGTATTTGGGACTCGATTGCAATTCACCTTGAATTACTACAATCAATTCCTATTGCAAAAGTAAGACTTTTAAAGGGGACCATTCAAGGTTTCTATTAAGTAGAAAGATTATGATTGCCTGTCTCTTCTTCTCTCTAAAGAATTGACTAAAGTTTAAGCATCTAACATTAAATTAGAGAAAGGTGGCCATGGCAATCTCTTTATCAGGACAGCACACAGGTAAAAAAAAAGTTGCCATCTACTACTGTGAGGTGGAAACTTACGCCTGAAGTCCTTGAAGTAAATGGTCTGCCTGTTGGGATTCAGTAGTTGAATCACGGAGTCGTCACTCTTATTGACTTGGCAGCTGATGGTTGCGACTTCTCCCTCGATCACTGTCACGTCTTTAGTAAACAGATTCTGTCCATCACCTTAGAAAAAAGGGAGAAAAAGGTCAGATGGAACTCCCATCATTTAAAATTTAGTCAGTGAGATCCATTAAAGCAAAACGAAGCTTATTTTATGAAAGTAATGTCTGTTATGGCTCTAAATACTCTTCTTCCTAGTTCACAAAATGAGTCATCAAACTAAGGCAAAGCTCAGTAAAGATACAACTAAGCTTGGAATTGACATGGTTCAAAGTAGGGGTACTAAGGTTCCCAACTTCTAGTTTTTTGAACTGTCATGCTGTGTGCTGAGGTGGGACCAGATAGATCAGAGTACTGACTGCTGTGAACATTGAAGATCTCCCACCCAGAAGAGGGAAGGCATGGCTAAGATTAGTCTACATACCCTTGAGCCAAGCTAAACTCAAGGGTCACTGAAACCAAGCAGAAAGGTTCAATAAATGACCCTGTCCAGTCAGCAGATGTTGACTTTCCCAATGGGCAGGCAGTTCATTTTGTCATGTGTGGGAGTAAGGACTAAACTGGCTCTTTGGGACCTCAATACAACCCACAAGGTCTACAGTTGAAAGTCTGACTCAGCTCTCAAAAACACACCTTCATAACTCAACCAAAGCTCAGGCAGCTCTGAGCTCACCACTCTCCCTGCAGATAATCCCTTCAGTCATTACAAACATTTCAGGACATGTCAAAATACGAGAGCTTTCAGATCCACTGATAACAAGGTTTAGCTCTAGATCTGTGCTAGTCTGAACCATCAAGATTTGTTCCAGGAGCCAGAGCATCTCCTAAATGTGTGAAAAGATCCACAGCACAAGGTGGAAGTTCAGTTTAGAGGAAGAAGTTAAGGAATTGTGAAGTGTTGCATTCTGTGATTGGGGCACTGTCCTAGCCTTTAAGGACCTAAGATTTTCATAAACACCTAATGACTACTTCCCAAACAAAAAGTGTGTTTACAGGCAGCAGCAATCAGTCCAGAAGGGTGAAGACAGACTGCTCTTACATCAGGAAATTTATCTACCATACTGAGCCAGTTTCCCATCTACAAAATAGGGGCAGTAATTAAAAGCCATCCCACAGAGTTGTTATGAACACAAAGCAGTTAACAGCATGTCTAGCTTTTCAAACTAAACAGATGGTAACTGCTACTACTATCATCACCATTACTGTTACCATCACACCATCATCATGCCACCACCACCATCATCAGTACCTCCACCACCACCACCACCACCACCACCACATCACTCTCATCATTTCGCTAGACCACAAATCCCCACACTTATTAAACCATTATCATGTATGGGAGTAGCAAATGCAAGAATGCAGGCTCAAGGCTCCAGCTCTGCAGGAGCTCTGTGTAGCCCATATGTATCAACCTAGGGTATCTTCTTCACTCCTCAAAGAGAGGTTGTCACATCAAGAAGCAAAAGTCAAAGATAAATGCTACTTTAAAGAATAAAAAATCGAGGCAGCATATATAGAAGTACAATCAGAATAAGTGGAGGACTTCTACCTGCTATCATATTTCTTCAGGAGGATCCTTTCTTGGCAGGACACAGTGGGAAAGTGTGATGGGCTGTCTAAGATGGCTTAAAGCCAAATCCACCTAGAAACAGACCAGCCCCTGGTAGAGGATTAGAAGAGAGGAAACTAGAAGAATAAGGGGGAAAATTATTAGAGCTGCAGATAAACAAAATGTCTTGACCTTGAGCTCCATGAATGTGGAAATTAGCCCCGCTGTGAGGTCACAGGGCTATGTGGCTAGAAGGATTGAGACTGAACTGGCGAAACTTAGAGGGTATGAATGCTGTTAGAGAGTAACAACAGAGTGGAAGGTAATCAGAAAAAACATTCAAGAGGTGTTCTTGTTTTTCCTCTGTGGATTATTATAACAAACACAGATTCCAGAACCCAGATGGAAGGAATGGGTTATTTACAGATAGGAGCAAAGACCAAGGAGACAGGAATTCCTGCCCATCAAGCCAGTTTTTCAAGGTGGACTTGTTGGCCCTGGATAAGTGTGAACAGAAAGCAGGACTCCAGAAACTGTATGTTTGCAGGGTAACTTAGTCAGGTGAGGAAATTAAGGAAAAATTACACTGTGTAATGTGAGAGTAAAAGGATGTAAAAGCCATGGGCTTGTCTTTAGGAGGCCAGAACATCAAATAGGATCTTCTTTGGGACAGGTAGGAATTTCTTCTATCTGCAGGGTGTTTATTAGTAACACAAACAAAATTCTTTGACCCATAGAGGCTGCCTGCTGATAGGATCAATCCCTTTGGATACAAGCAAATACTTGGAAGCTCCTGAGACTTAAGGTTGCCTCTAATTCAGTCCTGTTCTGATAGGACAGTTTCTGTGGAAATAACTATTGGCTTTAATTTTAGTTCTTCATGGTAGGTCTATGACCAGTATTTTCCAAGAGGAGGCTACTATATTTACAGACACCTTTATGTAGGGGGTTGGGAGCCAAGAAGAATGAAGCATGGTTTTGCATTTTTAAGAATGAAGGAAGTGACAACATCAAGTCAAAGTTGTTTTTGTTTTGTTTATAACACATATTCCTAATTATTACTTAAAATGGGGTTACTATAAGACCAGTCCATTTACCAAGTCACTCAGGTAAACTTTATGCCTTTGCTTTACTGTTCTGCAAACCCATAGTGATGTTGTCAATATCATGGAGTTATTATTTTTTAATTAAGACAAAAATCCAGTGTCTAAAATAAAAAATACCTACTTCTAGCCATGCTAATATGGTTGTAGTATCAATGCAAGAAGTTATGTGATAATGAAGCATTTGGCTGAGACATCAAAGTGCTTTGGCTGATGGTGGTGGCTAAAGGATGTCATTCTTTTTTTAAAAAAATCACCAATAAATTATACAGGTCAGCTGTATGGCAGTTATATTAAACAGAGCCCCATACTTTGAGACACCATAGATGGCTGCAATGGGATAATAATGACCTATTTATTTGAGGCAAAGAAATTGAGTGACAGCAAGGGAAATACAGTATGTATGTCAGAACTCTACTGCCTGAAGCCTTTATGTAAAAATGATTTCTGTTCACATCCTCAAATATGTCTTCCAAAAGGAAGAGTACACTCTATGGCTTGATAAATTTTTCCCTTGAAATGAATGTTGAGACAATTAGGTTGTCACAAAATGCAATCTCATGTGTAGCAGGAGAGAAACAGGAAACTTTGGTATCTTCTTTAAAGAATGCATTTAAAAACCCTTCAGAGTTTTCTAAAACTCAATTAGCTGACATACTGTCAAGGCGGAAACAGTGCGTGTTCTGGGGAAAAGAAATCAAACAGGTACAATATCAAGCCATTAAAAGAAGCTGTTAACAGCGAGGTAATTTATTTTAAGGGTGGAGCAATGGCTGCCATGTGTAGACATTTTCGAGCACTAACTGTTTTGTGTCTTTAGATGAAGTTCAGGAGACAGAATCAAACTGAATTTTATGTATATCAGGAACTGTTGTTTTAGGGGTGTTTCCTATGACTTTCAGGGTTTTTATTGTCTGTTTTTCTTCACATAGTTCTATTTACTTATTCATGTGTGCATGTGGGAGTCAGAGGATGGCTTTCTGAAGTCAAGTTATTTCCTTCTATCATGTGGGTTCCAGGGATTAAACGCCTCAGGCTTGGTGGTAGGTACCTCATCGTGATAGCCCTGTAGTTTGTTCTTCCAGAAAGTCTTGCTGTGTCCCTTTGAAAGTTCTGCTACTGACTATGCAGCACAGGCTAGCCTCAAATTTATGGCAATTTTCTTTCTTCATACTTAAATTTGCTGGGATTACAGACATGCCCCACCACACCTGGTCACTGTGTGATTCCTAAAAACAAAGACCTGAATGAAAGAGAGCCTATTATTCAAAAGTATGTGTCCTTCATCGAACCAGACATTTCTCGGACAGTTACAACGATGAGAAAACTTATTGTCTACAAAAGGCAAAATTTCCTTTGATGACCACCAGTGACCCTTATAGCGTTTGGTAGGACTGGTGTTGGGATGTAAGTTCCTTATTAGTGGTTTCCAATTAATAATATAATTGCTCAGAGACTCTTGTAAATATTATTTTGTTAAATACTCCTATAGGAACATTGTACAATACGTTAGACTTCATCCCTGTCCATTTAGTCAGCAATATGTCCTAATAGAAGTGACAAGTGACAAGATCGCAAAGCGAGAGGTGGAAGTGAGAAACAGGAAGAACTAAGGAGTCCCCAGAGCAGGGCAGGGTGCTGGCTGCTTTCCCCACCCCAGAAGATTGAACTCCAGAGCCTGATTTGGAGCCCAGGGTGTTAGAAACTGGTTCTGGAAGACAAGCGCCCACCCCCAATCCCTGCCTGCTTACCAGCCAACATCTCAGGACTAGGTTGCTAAGGTCCCTCTGGCTCTGCCTTGAAATTTTTACTTGTTTTTAAAGAGGGTTATTGCCTTATGAGCAACTTGTGATTTTTTTTTTATTTCCATAATTTACCCTGAACACAATTACACACTTCACGATGAGAGAGACGCCATCCTGAATGCAAAGTACCTGTTTACCTCTGCCTCCTCCTTTTAGCACTCAGCACATTCTGCCCCCACAGAAAGCCTTTCTTAACCAGGGCACAGTGGACATTTGCCAATGCCCAGAGCTCTTGCCCTTGCTGCCCGGCTGTTAACAAATAAAACACTTAGAACAAGAAAACAAATAAAACTGGAGGAGTCTTCCTAGTCAGGCCCATAATAAAAGGACAAGTCACAGTTAGACTTCAACGAATGCTGTGGCAGCTATGGAAACTCCCACCTACCCACACACACAGAGGGGCACCAAGACACTTAACTGAGAGGGTGGTTTGTACAAAGAAGCAACACATAAAGCCCCTGGCCTTTTCCCTCAGCAGCTTTATCATATTAGAGAAACTCTGTCCCCATCCCTGCTCTAGGAAAAAAAACTGAACCTCTAACATTAACTTGGTAGGATTACTGTCTAAAGAGGAGGCACCCAAGCCCTAAATGTAGATGGCTA